CCAATCATGTCACATAGAAAAATATAAATATTTATTTAGAGATAAAGTATAATCATTTGGGTAATTTTTATAATTTTTCATAATAACTAATTATTTTTAAACCACAATAACATATGAGATTAATTCATAACATTTTCTAAAATATTTTTCTTGACATTGCTATTGCAGGAATATATTTGAGTCATGAAAATTAGAGAATATTTCTCATATATAATTTTGTCAATAATTTTTTTTTATCACAAATTTAGAGTTTATAGAATGCTGCATCATTATATTTAAATTATAATATACTTTTAGAAGAGTTGCTAATTTTTATTATCATAATACTCTTTTAAGTTTTTTAAAATTAACGGAGCCTTTTATCATTATATACTTTATCTTTTCAATCATTTATGGAGATATGATGAAGAAACATAATATTTAATTAAATTTTAGTATAAGATGTGCATAATAAATAATTTTTACCATACTTTCAAGGTTTACAAATTATATTCAGTAAAAATCTTAACATAAAATTACCGTAAAATATATTCGAAATATATTAACAAAAAATATAAAATATAATATAAACAAATCAATTAGTAAAAAAATATTCATATATAAGCATTATAAATAGTAATAATAATACTAATAGTAATAGTACGTATTTATAAGGGTTCATAAAATCATAAATTAAATTATAAATTAATTACATAAAATTTGAATAATTTATAATGCCCATTGCATTTACCCACATTTTTTTTTCCTCCAACCTGGAGTTTTCTTATTTCTGTTCAGAAAAAAGGTTGAAAAGAAAACAGACCTAACATCTGACTCCCTCGCGCCTAACCTCGCCGACATTCACAGTGGGAGCCGATCAATTTAAGGCTGCGCCTGAGGAGTAAACTCAGGAACAAACAGCGAACCGTTGCCTTTAGCCGGTCAGCTGTGCGTGACTGCGAGCAAAAGCGGCTGCAGAGCACGCTCAAGTCCTCAACTTCAAGGTAGTTTATTTTTCTGTCTTTTATATCTCCTTTGTTGTTGTCCTTGATGCGCAATCATATTTGCTTGAGATTCCACTTCCATGTCCCTAAGTATTCTGTTGACTTTCAGGCTAAGTGTTCGAGATTATGCAATTTGAAAGTTCTAGAGATTAAGTTTTGATGCTTATTCTATCTTTTTTTTGTTGCAGATTTCTATATCTATAGACTTTAATACTGACCCTTGAGGTCTTGGTATTGAATAATAGCAACCAATGGGTTCTGTCGATTATGTTTAATGCTATGCAGCAAATAT